TGAGCGGTCAGGCTGGGGCGGGTTCATCCGAGTGGGAAAAAATGATCAACCAGGGGAAAAGAACATATAAAGAACATATATATATATATATTTATATATTTATTATAAACACAACATATAAACAACATAAAACACTTATATAATTTTTGACTTTTCGCACACACACACACACGCACAAAGAGCTATATATATATAATTATACTCAAAATGAGTATATATATATACACATGTATTTACAAGCACGCATATATATATATATATATTATCTACACACATATGCATATAAAAAAAATATATAGAGAGAGAGAGGGAGACGCATATGTATATATATATATACATATTATACACACACACATATATATAGAAATAATAAGTTTTTTTTTTTGCCCCCATGTTTTTTTCCCTAGATTTTCAGAAAAACCCTTGAGTTGGCTTAGTTGGCTCCACACTTCTCAGGTGTCATGGGTGGGAAGCTCCTCCTTGGTCATTCACATGAAACTCACCCGCGAAGAGGATGCCGTGGACGTTCTGAAGGCGACTTGTTGCGGGATTTCTGGTGGGTAAGCAGCCCCCCACATTACATGATATTTGCTGTGGCCTTGTCCAAAGATGGGAGATACCTGTATCCCTCAAGTTATGAAAATCCCGTGGCATTTTTTCGGCAGCAGAATTTGTTTGGTGTTGAAGCCATCAAACCTCTGTTCAACCGTTGATTCCCCTAGAACTCCACGGGCCACTGGGGTCTAAACGTCTGTTCCGAGGAGCCGTGCATTTGGAGCAAGTTTAGTCCTCAACAAGTGAGGGTTTAGTGGGGCATCCTCCTCAACAGGTCCTTCCTGAATGGCCTGATTTCAGATTTGGTGGTGGTCGTTTGCGACAAAGCACGCCGAACAGCCGAAAGCCAGGCAAATTTCACCTTTGTGGCCCGAGACGTGACGACCGGCAAGAGCTGCACCTGGCCCAGCGGAAGAATTTGTTCAGCACGTAGATGGAAATCTACCCATGGCAAATGGAGAATCCCAATATTTTTGAGTGGAAAAAGATTATGGGACGGTCATCTAGAAATTCGTCGCTGGTTTAGTCGCTGGCACACCGGATCGCGTCATGACCCAAGGGTGAACTCATGGAAGCGATAGATATGAGGAGCTTGGTTTCTCGCGTTGAACGTCTGGATCAACAAAGTTGGATTAGACTTAGGGACTTAGGATGACTTAGGGCATTTCTCGAGTTTTTGAGGTGTTGGAACTTCCATCAGCAGCGGGTAATGATGGTATCATTCTTCACCCCGCAGTCTGATGGTTTTTGGAAATCCACGTTCATTGATTTCCACCATTGACGTTTCCACTGTGGCAGATAAACCAATATATATATATACAGATATTTGATCACTATACTATACCTCATCAATCATGGTAACCATGCTATACTCCCACTAATTAAGCTTTTTTGCATGGTATAGTTTCATGAATCATGGTATACTCCCATGAATCATGGTGTATAAATCTATGTAATCATGATGAATCATGTCATGTGTACATGCTGCCCCTTGACTCAAACCTCCTGCTCTGTGCACATCTGTGCGCTGCCTGGCCGAGGCAAGATCAATCAGTTGCTTCCGGAATCCGAGGAGGGTCATGGTGAAAAACCATGGGTCGTTTTTTTTTTTTTACCATTGGTTAATCCCCACCGAATCTACTGCTGGGGTGTTAATAAGTTAATATATACATATACATATATATGATATATATATATATTATCTAATAGAAATCCCTTGATATGTTTTTTTCTTGCATTTCCTTGCTGATTTCCGTTTCGGAATTCTGTTGTGGTGTTTGGTGGGGTCAAGATATTTGTTGACCCCATGTTTCAGAATATATATATATATAATATAGTATGTATGCGGAACATGCATTGTTAATTATTCTCTACCTTGAAGCGCTGCAAACAAATATGATTAGCATTCTGTGCATCATCATCGGATCTTCAGGGTGCCCACATCTAAATTCACGCGCTAGAATCGTGGGATTTTTCTGAGATGCTAACCTCTCCCAAGCCGCCCAAGCCATTAAACCTTGGGTTGCTGAGTCGATCTCTTTTTTTCTTCCCCAAATGCTTATTCCATTGGAGAATCGACATTTTCAATGGGTCTTTCCAAGTGGATGGATTCCACGTTTTTTCATCCATGCAGATATCCTAAGATCTTCCGCAAACCAATTCCTGGGACCGGTTTGTTTTTCGCCTTCTCGTCCCAGGAGGAGAAGAAACTCTTTCAGGCGGCGGATGACAAGATCAGTGCCATGCACCTTGGGCGCCCGTGGGGAACAGCTGTGGTTTTTTTAGCTTACCATCTGGTTATTTAACAAAGCCATGGAAAATCACCATTTTTAATAGGTAAACCATCTATAAATGGGAGTACTACCCTCTGGTAAATTAACATAGACCCTGAACATGACCAATTTATAGTGGAAACATGTGGAAACTAGTCTTCCAACCCCTATCTGCCAGGGTCTATGTTAATATACCAGAGGGTACTATTTGGAGGACGGCTGATATGATCTGATATGTTTCATAGCCCACTTTTTTTTTGCCCACGAATATCCCATTAACATACCATTAAAAATCCATTTATGTGGATTTTAAGTATCATTAATAACCCATATAGATTTAAATATCCCATTAATATACATTAAAAATCCATTTTAAATATCCCACTAACATCATTTATGTGGATTTTAACTATCCCACTAACATCCCATCAATAATCCATTACCATTTTAAGGGCTCCACTTTCTCTCCACCTAGGAAGAAGGCGCGTGCCACCGGAAGAAGTTCCGGCGCAGGTATTCCACCGATGAATTCCACCTCCAAAGCCCTTGCGCAGGAGATTCCGGTTGGGCCGTCCTGGGGCATAGGAGCCCCACTGGTGGTTGAATAAGCGGCTAAAAATAGACCCTTTATGTATTATATGTTTTATATATATACACACATATATATATATACACTAGATCCGCAAATGTCTGGAACATTGGAAAGTATATATATATATACATAAATGATCATAGATGGCTATGTGCAATATTATATGATTTCACACCTACTACATGTTTTCTATTACGTAAATGACCACTGTGCAGGCCACCTTTTGGTTATGCCCATGGAAAAAGTCATGAGGCCAGTCCAAGTTAAAAATGGATAAACATGGGGGTTACTGCACTTACCCCGAAAAATGGCTATGAAAACAGTTGAAAATGATGTTTGAATTCATGGATCTATAGGGTTTCCTATCATTTTGAAACAAATCCATGTTGAAATATGGTGATTTGTTGTTCCCCACTCGTCATTTCTGGTGTTGACTGTAGGGACTGGGCTTAAATTCTTCCAAGTTACTGTCAAATAATTTCCGGCGACGCCTCCAATGGGGACATTCACCCTGCTTTTTTCGTCTCTTTCCCTGGCGATCAGAGTTTGGGCATGGTACATCGATCAGGGTTTTTCAACCAGGGGTTGACATTAGACTGTGTGGACCCCTTGCGTCCGACCCATTTTTTTTAAATCTGATCATGCAAGGTGTTTCCATGATAAAATCCATAAATTCTGTCAGTATTCCACAAATTCCCCTGACAACAGGTGTATCAAACTCATAATCGGACTCCAAAAATTGATTGTAATACCGCATGAAGGATCAAACAAGTGGCGTTTCGTACTCTCCCAAAAGTTACTGTGGGTTTGAAACTTAATCAGTTGTTTTTCCATGTTTCCATGTTTTTCCATGTTTTCCACTGAAATGTTGAAGTCATTCTGTTTTTCTGTGCTATGGCTGCAGGTGATTTCATTCATGGCAGATTAATTTCACTTGACAACTGTGTTTCTCCTGCTTCCCCCACACCAGGAATTGCTGGATCAAGGGCGGTTGCTGCAGGAGCGGGGGTGCTGATGTCATGTCATATTGAACCTGATATAAATTACCTGGAAAACCAGGTGTCCTATAAAAATAGTACACTACGCCACTGTGTCCTGTTTTCATGTCAGAAACCTGCCACTGAGGTTAGAAGCTCTTTTCACCTTGCATTGTGGGTAACTGGCACTGCAGCCCATCAACTTCAAACCACAGCTGGCTGGTCAATAGACATGTATAGTCATATGCAATCATATGATGAATCAATGATGAATGTTAACCAGGGAAGAAAACATAGGATTAGTGTAAACATGGACCTATGGAATGTACACACAAGTATACATATGAGTGGATATGTGTGCATGATTTTATTTGCATGTATGATCTATCATTTATAGTTATGGCACCCGAGCCCAGCTTGCCATGCCAACTGCACCGAAGATGACGGAGGACCGAGGAAATGGGCACGGCATTGGGTGACCTGTTTTGAACATGTTCACCACTTAGATGCCAAGGCCACAAGGTACCGTCCAATCGTTCTGGAATGAACAGTTCTTATCGAAACTGATCGCGACATGTTGGCTATTCGTCCAACGAAATCCTCGTCTTGCTGGGTGCACCAGCAAAGTGGGTTTATGCTGGGGATTGATTTCCTTTTCTGTACTTCAAGTTCAAATAATATTTCACCAAATGAATGGTATTTTGGCATGAGCTTCCAGCGGGTTACTCCCATGATGTATGCCCTTTGGGCACACTTCTGGAATGAATTCACGCACCTGTATCCAGACCTCAAAAGAGTTTTCCTTTCATCATTGGACAGCCATAGAGCAGCACTATAGATGCACCTCATGAAAGCGTTGGCCGCACTGATTGTGGCGTGGATCTCCAAGAAAATAGGTTTGAGGGTATCATCCATAGCATCCAGTTGCGATCCAATGAAAGACTCGAGAAAATCCAGTAGGCATACAGTGTCCGCTCCCTTGAACCAGCCCCTTAGACAAACAGCAGGTGCCAAAATATGCTCTCTTATTTAAGGTCGGCATACTAGCATACTACAACAACAGTTCTTGGGACAGTACTGATGAAAACTTAAAGTTTGGAGAGTTCAACAAAGTTTCGCCGTTGGGTAGTCGCTTGATGTTCCAAAGCCCAGTAGTGTCCGGGACAACCCAGACATGTGAAGAGTCTTGGACTCTTTGGCACAAAAAGTTTTAAACTCTGCAAAGCAAACCTCACAAAAGTTCTCGAACGAAAGATCCCCGAAGACCGCCTGATCGTAGAGGCAAACCTGCAGGCAAAGTTGGAAGTCTACAGAGTCTACATTGCTACATCGACCCCTTTTTTTTTTAAAAAAAATGTGGAACATATTGCCCCCACAATGTCCAAGAAACCGTGGCGTTGGCTGCGATGTCTCCCATGAAGCCCTTGTGCAGAGCATGAAATATGTCAAACCGAAAGAAGGCAGCCTTATCGCAATCATTCAAAGGAATTGCTGCGACCAAAGAAGGTTCCTCAGTCCAGGGAAATGGTGCATTGTCATGCATCTTGACCATGTTGTCATATGTCAGGTTGTGCCAGTTTTCAAAGCCAGGTCGATCTGCTTGGCATAAATGGCAGATGCCTTTTCCCACAGATTTCCCTGAAGTGACCAGTCTGCCAAAATGGCGTGTCAGAGAGCCAATCTTAGCCAAAGCTGGCCAATCCCCTTTCATTGATATGGGGACCAAGTAGATCCTGCCCAAATGGTGTTGTTTCAGTTGGATTCCTTGATGGAAGGCTTCCGATAACTCCATGGAAAGGTGTGAAATCATTTTGAGCAACGGTTTGTTCTTTCGCTTTCCACCATAGACCCGGGCCAGCATGACACTCCACAGGATTCTTGTAACAATTGAATTGCCAATCATATTGCATCCTGGAACATCTTCCGTGCTTTTTCTTTTCCTGGTTCCTTTGCCCATTGTACCCTGCAGCTGGACAATCATGATTTGTCGTTTTTTCAAAGATGTGCCTTCATCACAATGAATTGAAATCGGAATGCAATGGCCTTCTCGCCCTCGGTGGGCCACAAAAATTGGATGTTGAGGTTGCAAGCGTTCCCAATTCAACCAGAAACCCTTGAACTGTGCTTCACCATTTCCTTGAAACAGGATATCAAGTTTCCCAGCATCGTCCAAACACTGAATGGTATCTTTGATCGATAGGATCGGGTGGGTCTCCTTCAAGCCCACATCCACGAAGCTCAAAGGTATTTCTGCAGCTAAACCATAATCGGACAAAGAATTCACAAATCGATTCTCATGCCCTGTTCTGGACAGCCTGCTTGCCATCTGTAAGAGGTCTGTACTGTCAGGATGGCCAGAAAGATATGGCGAAAATTCATCCCAGAAAGCCCGTGCTATGGAGCAAGCTTCTGCTTCAGATACCTAGGTCGTTACCCGGGTTATAAACAAAAGGTGATTGGAGCCCAAGAGTTGGTTAAGTTTGTAAATGTTGGTGCAGTTTATTTTCCAAAAAATAGTGCTGCAACTTCAGACCGGGTCGCCCCATTGGCCACAGCTCCTGCCAGTGCCTTTGCAGCAGGACCAGATCGTTTTCTGGACTTCATGCCCTCCATCACAGGACCTGCGTGGGGTGTTGCAGGCATGAGTGGAAACGAACAATTTTAATGATGCCTTGCCGCTTGAACATTCTGAACATACATGCCATGTGTTCTCCTGTTTTATTCTCGCTGATCCCCAAAGTTTGCAGTGGCCTCTAATTGGCCATATGTTCATTGCAAGGGTTTCCCCTTTTGAAGAGACGAGTAGGATGAAACACTATGCCCGCATCCGATGGCGTATGGAAACACATGATTGTCCCTTATGAAACAAAATTTTGGGAACAAGTTGAACAGATATGAAATGTCTAAGATCTTTGAAGTAGATTCCTGGGCGAAGTGTTCAAAAGCAAATTGTATACGTGGCCAATGCTTCACGTACGGTGTCAACAGTGATCGATCTATCCACCAGAAGTTCCAAAGCTCTCATCAAGCTAGCCTCGGCTACTGTAAGTGAGATGGATGCCCAGGAACTGTGAACCTTACATGTGCCAATGTCTGTCAAGCACAAGGCTCAAACGGGAAAGCAGTGGATCACCTGGTGGCGGTTTGGGAAGATTCAGCTAGTTGACCCTGGAAAAGGAAAAAGGGATGACCATATGAATGAAACATTAAACCATGGCCTCATTCTCATGCATTCTTTTTTCTCTTGCGGGGCTTCTCAGCAAGATCCCCCTCCGCTCCTTTCTTTCTGCTGCCAGCCTTTGCCTTAGCCTTGCACTTTGCTGTTGGATTAGCCTTAGACTCCTCACCGGGCGGTGTGCCCCGTACAGCCTTCACTGGCTTCAGAAGTGTCCTAAGATTTTCACAAACTAAGATTCTCACAAACAAGGGGCTACTACCACATGTATGCATTCGACCATTGCAAAGTTACATTGGTATACGCCGAAAATTTAGGAGCGGACTTTCTCAACTTCGTGTCTTCCATCAAAGCTCGGGACGTCCTGATATACAACAAAATGATTTTTGGGTGTATGTTTATATAAAAATAATCGGTGGATCATCGGATATTTTTTGTTGAATGAGTGTGACCTTGCGCCAACAGGCAACCTTGGGCTCAGGGCGTGGCTCGGTCTCAATCTTCTGGATTAAGCCGTGAAGCTGGGTCACCTTCCTGGCAGGGAATGCTGTGGGGCTACTATACGGTTTCTACATATGTAGGATCTTTGTTGGAATCAAACCTTAAGTAACCACATGTGGGGCATGATTTTTTAGATAAGGCTCTGGTCATCAGCCTTTGAGATGTTCTTCTGGCCATCGAAGTATGACTTCAAATCCGCAAGTTCATCATGAAGGCTGATCAGTTGGTCACGGAACTGCGTCACCTTTTTGTGGCTCCTAAGTTCAGCCACTGTTTGGGTATTGGATTTCGTGGGCATCACTGATGTACTGTTGGGTATAAAACAAAATATATTATATAATTGTATCTATCTAACACCCTCCAAGTGCATATATATATACAAAATTAGGAGATCGGATACCAATTTGTATGGGCACTAGGTACGTGTATATATAAATATATATCGTATCTTTTTATATGCAGATAATATCATTAACATATTTAGTCTTTACATTTGCTATCAACGATCTTTCACTTGACAAATAAGAAAACAAACCTAATGCAGGTAGAGATCGCAAGGCTTTCAGTGGTATTCATTTCAGCAAGCTTGTCTCTGGAAATTTCCAATCGGGCTTGGACTTTTAGGATGTTCGCCATGACAGTGCTGACATTCTCAATCGCCTGACATGTGGTCAAGTAAAGTGATTGCACATGTGGAGGGGAATTCCATGAAATCACCCATAAAAAAATATTGATGATTCCTGCCTCAAGGGCATGTTCCTGTTCAACTTCACCTTTGCGGGGGATCCTTGTCTTAACACTAGACCCATCTTCCTCCTCCTCCAGCTCCTGATCCGAAGAGTCCTCAGGTTCTGCACCTGGGCTGTGACATGTCTGGCTGATGGCCGGGAGCCCCATGTCGAAGGAAGTTGCTTGCCCTTCCCCGCTGGTGCGATCCAGAAAAGACTCTTCATTCTCATCTTCAAACTTACCTGTTGTGGCAGTGTCGACCCAATACTCCCTGATGTGGTTCTCGTATTTGTCCCGCCTCCACAAAAGACAAAGGGTAAGGAAGCATAGGAAGAGTTAATTATCATGGTTACCCGTTGCCAAATTTGGATCATATATTGCCCAAGCCTGATATGGGTCTTAGCCCTGATTTTGTCCGCACAGTATGCCACAGCAGCCTTGATACGATCCCTGGGCCGGAGGGAAAATCAGAAGGCACTTATATAGTTGAGATGGGTCTCTTTCTTGATATATATATACACATATGGGTGTCAGATTAAAGAAATAGATACAAAGAGATTAGGGATACAGATATATAATCCAACTTTGCATTTGAGTAGCAATAGCTAACCCCACATGTTTTTATATTTACATAAATGTTTGAACCTTATATATATATATATATCAAGAAAGAGCATTGTCATATGTTTTCAGGATACAACCAAGAAATAGCTAAGAACATGACTTGCTCCAACCAAGCTTTGTCTTCATAGCCTCTTTGGTGTAGAAGCCCTTCTCCACATTCAACGTGTGTCGGCGGGATTTCTTTTGAAGGTGTTCAAGCTGTTTCTTGAACACATCCTTCAAGGGGTTGAACAGATAACCACCATGGATAGAAACAGATTGACTGCTATATTGTTTTTAATATATATATATATATGTGTGTGTCAAACGAATGCACATGGATGGAAAGGTCCTTGTTGCCCCCAGCTTTGACCAAGGTATCCAAAAGACATTTCCTTTGGGCACCCCCTGCTTTCCACTGACGGTAAATCTCCATGGAAACCTCAAGCTTCCCACTGCTAGGCTTGGGAGTGCAGATGCGACGAAGGGAAGCATCCATGGCAGCTTGCTTCTTGGCCGCCAAGTCCTGCAGGAGAGAGTGAAGCATGGGGCCTACAGGGGATTCTTAAGGGAAACATTTTCAAATTATAGGGATTGCTCAAACTTGTTTTGGGTTTGGTCTTTGCATCAACCCTGCCCAAGCGGTGCCCAGGCCTTCTCTTCGTCTTCTGTCGCATCTGCAGCAGGCAATGCCTGCCCAGGAAATGGTTCAAATAAACTCCATTCATGGGCTTCAATAACTTTTCAAATTGTAAATTTGAAGCTGTAGGGTTGGATGATGTAGAAAATGTTGTATAATTACAAAGGATAACCTTCAATACAAGCGAGGTTTCGCCAGGCAAGACCCCCCTTTAACTGCATGGCACCTTTTGAACCTGCTTCGTCGTAGGCTCACTGATCTTGTCCTGGAGCGACAGCATGGGAAACCTGAGTTTATACCATATCTCCAGACCCTACTTGAGATGCATGAGGCCGCAAAGCAGAACAGAATAGCATATATATATAATATAATGATTCAATGTATATATTACGACTTATTTGAAAAAGGTATGCATATAGATTGGTAGATAGATAGGTATCGATAGATATAGAAAGATAAACACATATATATATATATTTATATTAGATAAATAGATAGATAGACAGATAGATAGATGATATAGATGATATAGATAATTATAGATATGATAGACTGATAGATTCTCTTTCTTTTGGAGAGGATCAAACTCTCTTATCCTTCAAGTATCCCAAGTATGCACCTTCAAAATGATGCTTATATATTGGGTGGTATATTTTGATGTTTTTTTTAATACAACATCAGGCAATGAAATTGCACCATATGTGCCTGACTCTTCGATTTTCTCGTGGTCTCAGGGGCAAGGGCTGAACCAGGAGCAGGTGTTTGGGGTGGGCTTGGAGTGGCAACCCCACGCACCGGCGGCGGCGTGACAGGAGTGCTCGAATCGCTGGCAGCGACCTTCTTCGCCTTCAAAGCTTCGAGACGCTTCTTGGCTGCCTCATGGGGGTTGGAAAGCAGGCTGCATGATCTACAAAACATATTGGTTGGGCCTATCATCACAAATTTTCGATTGCATTCCTAAGCCAACATCTTATTCTGCAACCTGGGAACACTAAGAAGCCCGTCATACCCCAACGTCTGATTGGCTGCCCTTTGCTCATCAAGAAAAGATGAGCCCCGAAGCAGGGTACTGCATGACCATGTGCGAGTGTCAGCCATGCTGAACCCCAGAAACTTTGCCAGTATATAGATCCCTGAGCCACAAGACAGATATAATAGGTTCAATCATGGCATTACCAAGCTGTCAATTTTCTACCATGTCAAATCCATTTCGATCACATGCACATGGCGGTAAAAGGTATATATATACATCCTTTGTAGATCCCTCGAAGTCCACTTGTCCTGAAAGGCAGCTACGGCATCCAAAAACGCCAGCTATGGACACTGTACCCACTGGGCCACCTGTTCCACAGGTCATCTAAGCCCATGCCAGCATGTATAATTCCGAAAAATTGTCGGAATTTTGTCGGATTTTAGGCATTGATGGGGACCCCCAAAAGTGTACTATTTTAGGAGTAGGTTTCCTACGGATTTTTACGCCACTTTTATGCGAATTTATGCCACTTTCCTGAGTTCCTGCCACAGTGTACTATTTTCAGGTTTTTTTTAAAAAACGGAAATGGGGAGATTCGGGAATTCGTAGAGCCCACCAGTCAACGAGGTATCCCCAGATCATTGCCTATGAAAAGGCAGGCAGGAGCGCCATGCTTCAGGCAGTGACATCAAAAAACTGCCTCCCAAGTATTCAATGACTTCCGTCATTTGGGCATCTGCCCACATGTCATTCACACCCTCAAGTGGGATCACGTGCACGCCGAGGATGTGCTCCGGATTTGGCGCCTCAGGACGGGGAAGCATTCATGTTTACTTTTTATAGGGTAGATACCATGAATTGAAAAAAAATGGGCCACAAAAACTATAGTATACGAGGAACATCAACTGTTCTCAATGGTGGGGATCTCTCCTTCTTGAATTTGTTCATCGATTCTGCAAAGCGAACTCCAAAAGGAAGTGGATATTCCCTTAGTTCAGACAGGAGATGATGAATCTGCTGTGGCTTGAGGTAAACAAAGGGAAACTATAGGATCAAAAAAAATGTGCTATAATCAAAAAACCAATCCACTGCGACTTGCGAAGGTTATGGTTCCCCTTAAACTTCTTCTCACCACGGGAATTGTAGTAGACATCAGCGAGCTTTGTGCTGGATCCAAGCCAATACTTTCGAGCTTTCCGGGAAGTGCAGAAAAATCGGACAGCCGAAGAATTACTCCAAAGTGTAGTTCTTTTTGGGGTGCGTGAACCCCAGCCACGCATCCAGAACGATTGTCGAAAGACCTTAGCATTTTAAGGGGATGGGACCTGGCCCCCTATAATGAAAGCTAACCCAGGTCATCAAAAAGATATTCACACCTCTAGGCATTCCAAGTAATTCCAAGTATACCCACAGTAGTAGGGAAAAGTAACAGCTGGGATAGAGATACAATTTTGTTTGGGTTATATATATAATTATAATATATATATATACTGGGAGGTGTGTAGATAGACTGATGTGGAAAGGGTTGGTCATGCAGAGGTGGAACAATAACTGAGGATTTCAATTATTATATCAAAAATGAGATGGTCTCCCATATCCTTATTGCTAACAGGACACTTTTGTAGTTCGAAGGATCTGTTGGAACCTCTTCATACGAAAGACTATGCTTGAAGCAGGTTGCTCCAGCACCCACACCCCCTGTTTGGCCATCACCAAGTACATGGCCAGGAATGTCCTGCGATGCATGTTTGGCAGGCATGGTAATTGGGCAGGGGATGGAAAGGGGCATCCTATAATATAAATAAGTAGCAGAATGATGGGTGGATTTTTTTCATAATCCGGGGTAACACTTTAAATATAATATATATGTTATATTTATTTATCTGCACATGGAGGCGAAATATAGATATATACACTATAATATATAAACTACAGGGACCCTCTATATATGTTTCATATTTATAAAATTTGTCTGCATATATCAAAGGGTCAGGTTTTCTTCGGTCTGTTTCAAGGGATCTTTGAGGACAATTAGTCAGTGCCGTCCTTGCAGCAAGTAGGTTGCTGCGTTGAACTGAAAGTGCAGTACCATCTCCATCAGGAAGGAAGTAGTGTCGAAAAGTGGACCCTCGTGATATTGTAATGAAAGTGCTGCAAACCAATCCGAACGTTACAACCAGCTGGTCTTTGGAGATGATAATTGTTCTCAGTAACAACCTTAGATGGAAGAATATGGAATGTCAAACATTGAATGAAAGAACATTGGGGTGCTGGATGGAGGTAAACCACAACATGCACCTTTCATAAACAAAAAATGTAAAAGCAATCCAAGAAACGCAAACCCAGCAGGAGTCAGTAAGTCTAAGGGATTGCCAACACAAAGCTTCCTTAACCGCTTACCCTTTCGCTTTTCCATGAAGGGACCCCAATGTTGAATTTCCAGGCTAGCTGTTTCAAATCCTCCCAGTTGCAGACAGCGGCTCAGAGTCGCAACTCCAGCGAACACTTCGATCGCCTCGTAGACCTGCCAAGGGGACAAAAATGAGATTGAACTGGGATTAAAGTATGCCCAAATTTAAGGGACTAAAGAGGGACAACATTAAAAGGAAATCTGGAAAACACCTGAACCAAACCGGCCTCCTGCCAGTCCATCCCTTCAATGTGGACAAGAAGTATGATGGTTTGCATCAGTACCTTGTAGTTCCATGTAAACCCAACACCCAAGCCAGGGACCGAGGGTTTGGGGCATGCAGCTCTATCATTATCAGAACATGTATATATATATAGATATATCATGTATATTTATGTATATCATATTTATGTATAGAGATAGATATATCATTTATATATATATATATCATATATATATATTATATATATATATATCTTACATATATATATACATATATATATATATATATACATATCATGTGTTATATATATATACCGAGAAATCTGTATATATATATGTATACTATATACATATATTTACATCTATTTACAAAAGGTGTGTGTTCCACCAGTCATCGGTATACAAGCCTGCATCCAGCATGCATTCAAGTTTCAAGTGGGGCATCCAGGATCATCAACTTGCGCAGAAGCTGCCGTAGCGCTTGGTCAGCCATCGGCATGGTTGGGCTGGGAAATAAGGGGCCAAGGAATTTGCAACTTTGAGACTCCAAAGGGTCTACAATCAACACACCATAGCACTCCAATTCACATTTCCGAAAGTGACACTTCAAGGTATACCCACGTTTGGAGTTGCATAAGCATGTGTGCAGGGTCGCAGGGGTGCGTACCACTCTTCCTCATCATCGGTCGGCGTCCATGTCTAAGTCTCCACGCATTACTCATCAACACCTGGCATGAGGGATGTTCCCACCGCTTTGATGTATCAAATTTGTGAAGGTCTCATGGTGTTAACTAAAAAGGGAAAAAACAATTTCCCACTGACCATGCGCTCTAATTTTCCGATGTGGCACCACTCCTCAGCTTTCAACGCAAGGTGGTGAGAAAGGTTGAAACCCCAGCCAATGCTACCACCGAACTGTCATATGAGTCATATGATATGACATGGTAAGATTTCTTTCTAACAGAGCGACTCAGCTGCGCACATCCAGAGTACACCAACCAAGGATTGTGACACACAATCTTTCACAGAATTGTTTTTTGTAATGGAGGATTGGGCAACCACCCTGGATGTGACATGCTTGTCACAACCCCCTGGATGAACAAGGTTATCCCTGTCATCTGCAAAATACCCTGGACATTTGCCAGGTATGTGGCTCCGAAGATCTTCCAAGCAGCGAAGATATGGACGAGCAATCCTTGGAGGACAGGCAGAGGGCAAGAGGGGAAAAATCCTAAGCCAGAAAAAACAATGAATGCGAAATGCGAAGCATACATTAAACATCACTGAGCATCATTGAACATTTGTAAAATACCAAATGAAGTACCATATATGAATAGAAAATCTTGCGTTAAGCAAACGTTAAGTGTCCTGGTTACTTGTCCCTACGCTTGCTTCCATTTCATGCGCTCGATTTCTTCCCAGGGCCCTTGGTTTTCTTCCCGCCCTTCTTGGATTTCTTTGCCTTTTTGGCTACCTTTCCACCTGCCTCAGATCCTGCGCTTGGAACCATGGGTCCGTCCTCTTCGTCCCAAACCTGTTTCGCTGACTTTCCTCGAAAAGTTTTTTTGCGGCACAGGCTGCACCCGTTGTAGATAAAGCGGCAATTGGAACAACCATAGACCTGGCCATCCAAGACTGCATACCTCCATGTCTTCCCTTTGTTAACCCGATCCTGGTGAACCTTTGTCACCTCCTTTGTTGCTACCTGTACCCAAGTGGACGGGCCCTCACTGCCTGATGCTTTCTCAACCCAGGTCTCGTACTTAACCTTGCTGGTTTTCCCCTTCCCCTTGGGTGCTGCCGGTGCGGGAGAGGCTGGTCGCTTGCGACGTTTGCCACAAACTTCATCATTGTCAACTGCTGGGTGCTTCTTCATTGCCTTGCGCTTGTGCTGGGACTCAGTGTCAGGTGAGGTGTCAAGGTCAGGATGGGACTTTTTTGGGCTCAGTTCTTTCATGCGGCGCAGGGTGGCAATCTTGTGCTTCCCACTGTTGGAGCGCTTGATCGATTCACCTGAATCTGCTTTTGCTTTCTTTGCTGCTGCTGCTGTCTTTCCATCTTTCTTGGGAGTTCCAGTTTTCTTTGCCCTTTTCCCACCCTTTTTATCCTTCTTCGCCTTCCTGCCCCTTGTCATACCCTTCTTCTGCTTGGTGCGCATTTCATGCTGCAGAGAGGGTGTGACACCATCGAGCGGTTGCTCCACCTCAGGGACGGGATTGTTGAACAAAGCCTCACATGCATGCAGTGCATCGCACATGTGACATTGAAAGTCATGTTGTAACCTAGCCTTGTCAGGGGTCTCGTCCAGGTTCTTCGGTGGCAAAGGGCTAGGAGTAACAATTGGGGATGCGGCAGCTTCTTCATCCATCGGCAAAGTATCCAACTGCCATGGGGCCCATGGACATGTCAAAGCAGGATAATAGCAAACAGAAAAAGAACACACACACACACATATTTAGCATGGAAATACATCTCCTAGATAGCAGTATACAAATATTGCACATATTCAGAGTGCATGATGTATGTTGACACTGTAGCTCAAAAGATGTTGGCATTTCTCCCGTGCCTCGGATGGGTCAACTGCCGGCGGTGCTGGCAGTGCGAAGAGTGCCCTTGGGCCTCAACAGAATTTTGGAAGATTCCCGATTATACATCAACTGTTCCAACATTGAAAACTATATATATTGCAAACAAAGAAGCTTGGCTTTCCCATGGAGGTTGGAGATGTTGTCTCAGCTAGGGCTGGCGACCTGGGTTGAAAATATATAAATGCTTCAAATGTATATTCAAAAACAAAATGCAAGGGTAATGCTTTCTCCAAACAAAAATTCTTAGGCTGCTACTCATCAGCATTTTCCAAGTTGTGAATGTTGGATAACAGTTCCTCAAGCTCCCTTTGCTGGTCGGCGGACAAAGTATTCTCATCAATGCCCAGGGCGGCCAGTTGTTGTTGGACCGCCGTTACCGACTCTGACTCTGGCTCAGTAGATGCAACAGACACCAAAGAACTAGCTCTCCCCATTTCATTGGCTGGGCCCCCATCAGGATTTGCCGCAGGGGTTGGGGAAGCTGCTGGGGTGGCTGCCGGGGTCGCTGCTGTGGTGGCTGGGGTATCTGCTGGGCTCGGGGTAGCTGCTGGTGTGGCTGGGGACTCTGGGTTTTCCGTGGTATACTCAACATCATCCTCAGCAAGAGCTGCCTGAAACTCTTGCTCAGTCCCCCCTGCCCATTCCAACTCCTGAGGCTTCCAAAACTTGCGGAAATCTGCAATCTTGCAGAACAGCTTGCGAACCTTGGCGTCCTGGCAGGGAAGGTTTCAGGTAGGTTTGGAATATATGCATGTTTTGTTTTCTCAAAAGGTTTGTCAAATATTTCTTTTAAAAAATATGATGAAAGGTTTGAAACCCCTGTCCCGAGGCTTCTGTCCCCTCTTGCTGGTGTCCAGCTGTCTGCGGAAACTGAACGTATAAAGGCGTCGCAAATCCCAAGCATCACAGTAACTGTCCCTCTTCGGGTTGGCGGTGTCATGCTTCATCATCTTGTAGAGTGACTGCACCTGCACCGGGCGTACATGGGGAAGGGTTTGGTCAGATTGGTTGAGTACCATAACTTTCACTTGTATACATGTTAATTGACCCCATGCATGTGAGAGCTAATCAGTGTATGGAATTGTATGGATATATATATATATATGTATGATTATGTATATGGCACTTCACTTGAACACCGTTGGCACAACATGTTGTGTGCAGAGTGGCCTCACCCTGAAGCAGGGGGATGTCAACGAAGCTACCGTTGTAAGACTCCAACATGCACTGCAAGGCATCGGCATTCAACTCCAGTGCCTTTGTACAAACAGGGCGTTTAGGCACATCGTCCAACTCATCAGTTGGCACCCCATCCTCATTTCCAGCAGCATGGCTAGTATCCAAAGCTGCCGGGGAGACCGGCCACTGAATCCATGAAACATTTCGACGGAATCTAGAGCGGATAGCCACACAAGATTCCCAATCAAGCGCTAACTCCGACGGGTGGGCAGCAGCTGCCATGACTTAGGGGATGCAATGGCCCCCAGGGATGACACTCAGAGCACTGAAAAAGATCTACAGATACGGAAATATCCAAATGCTGCAGTCACACTTTAGTTTTCTACAATTCCACCATGCAGGTATGGAAATGTCCAAGTGCTTCACCACTCAACCTGCCCAAATCAACCCTTGCAGGATGGAAAGATCGGATGATAAAAAAGCTGGAGCGACTGATGAGTCTGATGAGGACCAGCAGCGTGGAATTCCTGGGCAGGAAATGCGTGGCAATTGATAAAAAAGGATAAGTATCATCAGGGGTCAGATCCTTATAGTTAAGTCCCAGGAAAATTGCAAGTGCGCATGGATATCTCTATAAGCAATGTAGCTGTTTGCAAACGAGGTTCTACCAAGGGACAGGTTGCATAGACTGCTGTCGATCCACGTGCTCCTGACTTATTCAAACCATGGGGCTCCATGTTCACCGTGGTTAGGGTCTACAGTACATTGGAAATTGCCATATACTTTGAATGGTTGAAGCGCTCCTTGGCGCCAGGAATCTTCAAGAATGAGAGCGCCGAAAGGGCCATGGGATGTGACTGATGTCAGTGCGATGCTCCATAAAACTTGAGTCATTGATCACAAAAAAATATGGGCCTATGTATGTCCATGTGCTTGCTGGCCACTCCAAATTTGGAATTATCCAACACTTGGTGGATCAATGAAACTTTATGGAGTTAGGATAAGTTAGGCTGCCCAACTGGCCACGCAAAATGCTGCAGCATGAAGTGGTAAAATGCTGCCTGGGCAAGCGTAGGAGGCTGGAAATTGGGCATGGGGAAAGGTTACTATTTTGGCTGGAAGTGGACGGTTTTTTTTGGGAAATCATGAAAGTGGCAAATAAAATAGGCAACTGGTCAAAGTAGACTATTATTTTAAGCCACTTTGGCGGTCCAGGTATCTATTATTATTATATATATATATATCATATAATG